AATTAGTATCGAAGAGTCAGCATTCTAGTGAAGGGCATTGATTTCAGTAAATGTTCGATGTCTGTGTTTTTGGTGAATACTATGCTGGCACTATCATATCTCTAAACCTAGCCAAACACATAAAATATATACTATAGTCAAAACGAAGTGTAGACGAAAAAGAACAGCCTAAAGAACATGAATACAAAATGAAAACATAAAGCATTTTCAATATCTCTCCGTCTCAGTCGTATATAAGATACTAACAGAATTTTCCCTTTTCGTCTCATTCTAATGTGACTAGATGGACATAAACAGCATTCGTAGGAATATTTCATATTTATTCAAAATGGCGCCCTTTCTAACTTAGTCAAAAAGATATTAGAACGTTCAACGTTCTATGACAAGAGAGAATAAACTGATTTCATAGTCGCTAATAGTTTTTGACAATTTCTATCAGTAGAGGTCAGTTTTGTATACACTTATATGCCGCAAATCAACAGAAACCATTGAAGAAGCTAAGAAATGAAGGAAAATTACGAAAGATAAATAAAAAAAAACAAAAGACACTAGGAATATTAGAAATTATGGAACATCAAAGCAATAATTAAAAATAGCTAGAAATCAATAGAAATTAGAATTTTTCATTTTAAACTTTTTACTAGTGATTTCTAATAATTTCTGATAGAGTTTTGGGTGAAGTTTGATCAAACCCAGTTGTTATTCATACGCTTAACGTGTTATAATGATTTCTAACAATAGAAATCAGTTTATTTTCCCTTGCTCTATCATATAAAACGAACATTCAATGAATATGTACGAGCGAGGTTTTCTTTAGTTTAGTAGATCAGATTGAAAATTCTTAAATATTAGTTAAGCGAAAATATGAACTTTGATTTATCTTCGATACTGTGAAAAGTCGTTGATGAATTTGAATCACTTATTTGAAATGATTTTATAGTGATTTAAAGTAAGTTAAGATGATTTAAATCAATTGTTTTCCCCTTGTTCACAATCATAAAAGCGATATTATTAGCCAAAAATTCGAAGCATAGGTTCAAAAGTTATTGTTCCGGATGTCCGGCTTCGTTGACATTCTTTTCCTCCCTCTTACTGAACATCCGTTATGGATGCCGATTAAGTAGTGAACTTACCCATTGAATTTTCGTGATCTTCCTCGCCTTCACTAGAGAGTTTTGATCTCACTGAATATTCAGGTTTCTTCATTGTTAGGAGCTACGCAAGTGGTCAAATCACTGAGCGCTCATCTTGGATATCTTTTGATCTCAATAAGTTAAATGAGACGAGTTCACTTGTTATAACTGAGCTCATTCTAGATGCTGCCTATCAGGTCTGTTTCCAAACTAAATGATTCGAACAAGGTACTTCCATTGACTATTTCGCTTCAGGTGGTATCCAGCAACTGGAGTGACGCCTCATGAGAACATTTGTCAAAGGTAAGACAAAATAAAACCATGCAATTGTGAGAAGAAAACAAGCAGCAGTTTTATCTATATGAAGATTTAATAGTGCATTCAATCGATCAAAATAATCGTGTTTGCAACTAATGAAGCCAATCAGATCAATGAGAATAATACTAACAAATATTTCTATGACGTCGAATTTTGTCGAATAGATTCATTTACACAGTTCTGACATATTATAACTTCTTTCAGTAAATATAGATCTCCTTTATGAAGAACTACTGTCACTTAACTTTAAGAAAAAAAATTTTCATGAAATCCTAAAGATCAGAAAAGATGTGAAAAGAAAATTTGATAATTCAAGGTAATACATGCTAAAATAATGATCTTCCTCACGTATATTCTAATCGATATTTTCGATGCATCAATAAATATTGATTTCATTCGAGTAAAATGAAATAACACTAAGTACTGTCAATATTTGATTATTTCAAAGATATTTTTGTTTCTAATGAGATATGTCTTTCAAATAGTTGAATAGTTTCTTTTATTTACTTAATTTGACAGATGACACAACACTACATCATTTACCTCCTGTTGGTGAATATTCATGGAAACAAATCGTGACCAGTGGTGGAACCAAAGCAGTATCTATCAATACGAGTATTTCTTCGGAACTACCCTATCACAATCGAGAGATTACTATCAAACTCGAAGGATCACAAAGCCGGATGAGATTGCTGAATTCGTAATCGATCAGCTCAACTTTCGTTGAATTTTACATTGTTCGCTTATCCAAATATAGTACAGTTAAAAAATATACTAAATGAAACAATCAACATAACATCAACAGACAACAGTGTTGATCATCTTCGATACAACTTTTATTTTGTCATACTTCTGATTATACTCATCTCTTTCTAGTCAGTCAAGAGCGATTACAATATATTATATCACAATTGATCGGATTTCACAGGAATCTTGTTTAGAATCAGAACATATGTTGTAATTGTTCTATATCATTGCGAAGTTTTTTCAACATGAACAGCTTTCTTGATGTAATCGTAATTTTTGCATCATTACAAGACGTCTTGGATATTTTCCTTGAAAGAGGGAGAATCGGTGTGGGTGTGAATCTTATTCTCACCACGCATAGCCCACACCCACACCCACACCCATACCGAGTAAAGTAAAGTAAAGTATATGCGTTCTACTTTAGTCGAGGCAATAAAGATAAAGTGCCACCCTTACTACTAGCATACCAGTTGGATTTATTACAGTATTCCTGAAAACTAATAGTAGATTTGGATTCCTTAACCTCGAAAAATTTTCGTGAAACTTTAAAAGAAATCTTTTTATATTTCATTGATTTGTATCCAAGGCGATGTTTTTTTGACCTTTGACCTACCACAAACAGATAAACAAATTATTTTTATTTCATACGACCCTCTCTTCAGTTGAGGGAATATATATTATACATTAGATTTAAGTAGTATTACTAATATCAAAATTTTTTTATAAAAATTTAAAAAATATCAAATATATTGTGTTGTATCAACAATAGGAAAGATAGTCAATTTTACTGATAATAAAGAATATTTGGAAACTATTCGAATATTTTTAAACGATCATACAGATATTTGTAGTCAGAAACTATCAGCTGTTACAAAAACTTTTATGTTATTTACTATTACATTTGATATTAATGATGTTAACAAAGTAATATTATTAAATACTAAAAGAACTATAATGATGAAATATTTATTAATATTAAATGAAAAAATTTATAATGGTACACTTATTCTTAAAGCATGGTTCAATGATTTATTTACTATAATAAACAAACAAGAAACACCATCATCTTGTATAAAAATAAAAACTGAACGTATTAATAAACTAATAGGATAGAAAACTGATATTGATCAAATTCAAAATGATATAATTGAAGTTAATAAAATCCTTGATAATGAAATGCTTTAAAAAAAAAATGAAATATTTATATGTATTGAAATGTCCATATATTTTTCTTATCTTGTTATTATGGATTTGTGTCTAAAGCGTGCTTTTATCTTTACAACAAACAAGGTGAATGCCGTTCACCTTGTCAGTCTCTTCAGAACTACAAAGGTATCATACGTGATTTCTGCTGACATTACGCAGCTCACCAGCGATTATGATGTTCTTATAGTTCCTGGTGGAACTGCAGGACTCTACCAGAAGCTTTCGGGTGAGAAGGGCATCGCATCCATTCGCGATTTTGTTGACAATGGTGACGGCTATTTGGGACTTTGTGCTGGCGCATATTTCGCTTCAACGAATTATATCACTGACACAAAGAATATCGGCATTGGTCTACTTCCAGTTCGATACTCTCTTTATGGATGCGGTACGAACATTCGGGCCAATGTAACATTGAATGATGCTAGAACAAATGTGGTTTATAAGACAACTTATCATAATGGCGCAGTCTACTAGTTCGATCAGCTGCCAAGTAACATGACAGCATTAGCAACAATTACTGATACTGACAGTTCGAACCCAAAGTTTCATGACTTTCTTGTCAACAAGGCCACCATCATTGCTGGTACTTTTGGTAAAGGACGTGTTGTCTTGTGCGGACCGCATATCGAAGTCAACATGAAATCCTATATGTTTTCTCTAATCATGGGCCTTATTCGTCAGCCAGAGGCAATAATTCCAACAGATTCAACAACACTGTAAGTAATATATCACGTTGAATGATATTACTTACTGATAGTCTGCAAATATTGTTATAAATTATTATAACATTATTTGTAAGACTATTTTATTAATTTTAATGTTATACTTTTATAATCGATTTAAATAATAGAAAAGTAATATTAATATGGATGATATAAATTACCAAATCCATTTTCCATATCTTGAAAATAATGATAAATACAAATTATTAAAAATAGATAATGAATCAATATATTATATTACTACATATAATCAAGGTAATATTATAATAGATATTATTAAGAAATATAAAAATGTATACAAGCTTAATTTCAACGGTATTATAATAGCCGATATGACAACTGTGGTTGGAGGGAACTCCATTATCTTTGCTCAACATTTTAAATTTGTTAATGCAATTGAAATTGATAAAATGAGAATCTTTTATTTAAAAAATAATACTGATACATATAAGTTATTAAATATTAATGCTATAAATGATGATAGTATTAATTTTATAAAGGATTTATATTACAATATAATATTTATTGACCCTCCATGGGGAGAGGGGTTCTTATTATAAAAATGAAATTCGTGTAAAATTAAAACTGGGAAATATTGATATTGAAGATTTAGCAAATCTTATCAGTACAGATACTATCAATAAATATATTCCTAAAATGATCATATTAAAATTACCAGAAAATGATAACATATTCCATTTAAAAAATACTATTATTGTTATTATAAAACCATTCTAAAACTTTCAACGTGTGAATATCACAATGAAAGGCGAGATTTGCAAACTTAAATGCAAAGTATTTTTATGTGACCGTATCACTAAGGTTCAATAATTAAAAGCGGCGTAGACAGCGAATTAACATATTGTATACAAAATTATATATTTCTTGCTGATGCATTGATATCTGCAAAATAATCTTCATCATTATCATCTATTTTCATTTCTACAAAATCAGGTACAACATCTATTTTTTTGATAAAATAAAACATAAGAACTTGAATTGTCAATAGCTTGCGAAATATTGGGAATATATGTTGCATTGCTATCATCATATTTGAACCATTTTTTGTAATAGAATTTTTGCAATATGCTACATAATGACCACCGCCCATACCTCCATAATGTTCAATAAATGCATATAAATCGTGTTTTTTATTGCTTTTTCTTGTTTCCAAACAGTATATGTTAATATCTAAATCATCCAATGAACATTGAACAGAGATCGGGAATTTTATATGAGTATTATGACATCTTTTTAATCCATTAGTTAATACATCTGGTAATGACCAAATAAATACATTTTTGATAGCTGTAACATTATCGTTACATTTTTCACATTTATAAGAACAATCGTCAGTCATCTTTTCTACTTTAAATTCTTCATCAAAAGCATCATGTAAATTTATTTTAGATTTTCGTGGTAAAGATAAAGAAATAATATTAAATGCTTGAAAAGATGGTGATATATTATTACACTTTGTACATTTTACAAGTTGACAATACATTCTAACCATATGTTCTTTAATAATAAAATAGCTCTTACTCAGATAATTTTTCCAATACGAATATGATTGTAAATATAAACCTTCAAATTGCTTACTTTATTGATATGCTGATAATTTGTCTTGTAGACTTATTTTTTCTTCATCCAATATACTATTGCTGATTCTATTGATGAGATTGCTATTGACATTTATATTTTCTATTACATTTGGTGGGATATTAAATTTTACCTTGACATTGACTCTGATTTCTTCATCAATTTTATTAAGCAAATCTCCTAAAAATTCATGACTACAATGTTATTTATAGTTATTATACATTTTTTAATTTTTATCAAGAGAATTTTTGAAACTACTTGGTCGTACTATGCAATTTTCTGCCCATAGCACTTTAAATATTCGATAGAGTTCGTATGTTACAGAATTTTGCATCTCATTAATAATTGTTTCTTTTGATAAACTAATCGTATGAGTTTCTTTAATATTTAATTATTAGCGTTGTTTCTTTTCTAATTTACATATAACATTTTCTCTTCAATCTGCTATAAACTGTTTAAATATACACATAATAAATCAGTATGAGCTAAACACTGTGAAACAGAATTCATACAACAAGTATTGTCAATATTATGTAATCCAGAAAGATCATTCCTGACTATTTTGCTGTCCGTCAATGATAAAACATTATAAAATAGTATTATAAAATAAACTATATTCAATTTTATTTAGCTTTATTATGTAAATTGTTGTGGTATATTTTCTATATTTGTACATTGATTTGATATTTTTGGCCAAAGTAAATCTTAAATTTCTATATCATAATTAGTGTCATTAAATTTTTTTATTGTTTCGATCAATTTACTTTTATCTATTTACTGTAATCACAATGAGCTATGCCAAAATTAAAATATTTGACTAAAATATAAATATAACCATTACTATGCGCTGCTCCAGTATATACTACTGCATTAGTAATATCATTTTTTATCTGATAATCTTCTTAAAAAAATATATATCAACTAATAATACACGTCTAAACTGAAAACTATTTATTAATTTACTAGATACTACGTAGTTCAGAGATAACTATTCATGTTCATCTACAAAAAAGTTCTTTTAAGTGAATGTAACATAGAAGTTTTTGTACGAATTAACCAAATGAATTTTATTTCGGTACATGCCAAATAACATAGTTTTTGCATTAATCTAATTCGGAATTTTTGAATAATGTATAGGTAAAGAGAGTGACTTTAATATTGCGGAATGTCGATAGTACATATAGTGTATAAATTTAATTCAGAATGTTGTGTAAATGAACAGAATAGTGATCTCGATAAAGTTCAAGTTTCTTTCTCCCAGACAGCTAATTTCATAATTTCCTCAATTTATAAGATTGACTAGTGCGAAAGAATAGCCTTATTATATGCACATCTCATTATGACACTCATGGATGAAGTGAAGATTTCGCTCTTTAGTGTACTCGAAACATATACGAAAGTTATCTTCGATAATTTGTTATATATTTTAAGTATGTCAACAATGAGTCCCACGAGCATATTATTTCGAGTTTAAAATGCATGTTTATATCGGGAGATAAATCTAAACACTTCGTTGAACCTCAAAAGTTATTAATAATAAAGGTCCATGAAGTATTTGCGACTTACTCTCACCTAGTGTTGTGTAGAATGCATTCAAATTAGCGTCCTCATGAGGCAGACTGATAATAGACACAAAATAGACAGGAGGTTCTTAAACCTACAGTGTCACTAAATATTGATCGTACACTTGACAAATAACGTTTTTTCTTTGGTATCTTAGAATGAATTGAAGATATAGAGTTGCAGTTATCAGCAAAATATAGCCCAGTTGCCATAGTACATCTCCTGACAATTGTATCTTTCCAAGACGTTCATATGTTATAGTAGACCAAGAATAGTAAGAATGATTGTTTTTTATTTGACTCGGATCTAGGCATGCACCCCACATAGAAACAGACAGATATGAAGTAAATAAAACTTTTCTATTTTGTCCTTACGAATGAACAGATGCATCTAAAAAATGTGCTAAAGTTTCAATTAATTTTTCAGGCAAAGAACCTTAACGATGCGTCTTTTCATTCGTAAGGACAAAATGAAAAAGTTTTATTTACCTAATATCTGTCTGTTTCTAGTGGGGTATATGCTTAGATTCGAGTCAAATAAAAAAAACAATCATTCTTACTATTCCTAGTCGACTGTAACATATGGACGGCTGGGAAAGATATAATTGTCAGAAGATGTACTGAGGCGACTGGACTATATTCTGCTGATAACTGCAACTCTAGATCTTGAATTCATTCTAAGATATCAAAGAAACAACGTTATCTGTCAGGTATATGATCAATAGCGAGCGCTACTGTAGCATCAACACACTACTAAAGTAAGCTGAAGTACGAAATTTTCGCTGTGTCATTCGTTAACATAATATGCAGTTTGAACTGTGTCTTTTAAAGTATTTTGATCCATCGACTCTCATAGCGTGACAAATTAGCAGTAAGACGCAACTTTCGAAAGCATTTTACACAGTCAAAAATGTCCGATTTTACGCGTTTTAAACCGTTGATCTCGAAAATGTGTTTTAATCGTTTGTGTCTGCTACCACTGTAATGATGTGAAAGCTGAAAAAAATGCAATTGTTAAAACACCAAAATTCGGACATTTTTGACTGTGTAAAATGCATTAAAAGATAAAACGCAAAACGGTCGTTATAACGTGTCAATTTTACTTTTCTGACTGCTTGGGTACGTTGGAAAAAGAGGAACAAAAAAACAAATTTGATTCTTTGGACGATCGTGTTCACAACAACTTCGAGCGAGATCGAGATCTTTTGTATAGAGTTCATGACAGAGACTTAAAAAGATGGGCTCTACGAGAAACCAGAATTTTAGAATTACAAAACATTGTGGCGTCCGATACTTGGGTACCAAATTTCAAACATAAGCACGACATTTCTTCAAGAAAAATCATCAAGGTAACACAAGTTTTTATAACGTCAAGACGAACCTTTGTAATTATACGGTCATTTGTAATATTGTTTTTGAAAAGGTAACTATAAAACGTGAATTGGCGGGTGGGTGTGAGCGTGAGTGTATTGTTTTTCTTCAAACACACCCACACCCTCTTATCTGTATAACATATCTTAAATCCAGCAAAATTGGACGATCTCGATTGAGAAACTTTGGTCGTGGCTTACGTGGACTGACTCCTAAGTTAGAATAATTTTTTTGTTATAAAAATGTTATCAGAATAAAAGAAAATAGAGACATCTTTTTCGTCGATACTAGCGACATGTGTGCTTTTCAAGTGGATTCTTTATCTTAAAAATCACAAAAATTAAAATAATTGGTATCAATAACACAATATTCGAGTCCCTGTACAACAATAATGACTTGCACAACTCCATCAAGAATTTCGTACATGCATGAAATTCATTCTATCTGGTACATTCGCTTTATTTCTTTATGTGAGCAGTTATAGGATATATTTTTCTGATTGATCTTACGTGTGAGTGTGTATCAACGTGTGCACAAGTAATCTTTTTTCTGTTTTTTCTTTGATAACTCTTCTTTTATCAACATATGGGCATGTTTTGCAGACGTGTCAGCGTGTGTTATATCAAGTTTCTATTATCAAAACACATTAAAAAATAGATTTAAGTCAAGTATCTTGCTGGAAGATGAAGCACGTGTACAAACTGCCTTTGGCTGTTTTGACACTTATTGCTGTTGCCAATGTTTTCAATGCAGTATCGCAATACTATTTAAACTCGAACATTTGCCAGCTAATCGGTCACTTTCTCATCTTAAGTTTAGCGTATATCATCGAGGATGCTGTTCTTGTAAGTTAACAGGTATACGTTGTTGTAAGCATCTTAAAGCTATTCGAATCGTAGGGATGTCATAGAATTCATATTGAAGTTGTTGTTATGGATGCACTTTTCATAATTCCATTTACTATATCGATGGGCTCTCTGTTTATTGCCATGATGCAATACAATAAATGTCCGATGAAAATACTTCTTCCTCTAGGATTATATTATTTTGGTCTCTTTGGCTTAGTGTCTAGTCTTCTAATTGCAATTTTCGTAAGTATGATCATTTGTTAAAATACAGTCGAACACATATGGACGACTTTTTCTTCAAATCTTGATAGAAAAAGAAAGATCAGCAGAATGAATTTTATTAAAATGGAAACAGCAGAAACTGTCATACGAAAATTTTGATTCCATATCAACATTTCGACAGTGCGAAATATGACAGCATCATAATTTCCACAAGGAAAATCTTGCGAGAAAAAATTAGCAAAACGAAAGAACTAAGGATCTTTCGATAACTAGTTCGAATATAAAGCGCTTTCGTTTGATGTTCTCGTGTGTACTTAAAAACCAACTTCCTTGTTCTATTTACGTCCTTTTGCAAACATAGAATTGAAGGTATCCATGATTAGAGTAGCATTATTGTTGTCAAATAATAATAATTTTTCTTCAGAGTTAAGCAGTACGTTATTGTATAGTCAGTCTTTTTCGAAAATTTGATATTTTCTAATTTCGATCATATTTTCTGTGATTATTGGAGACTTTGGCAATCAATCATTCTTTCTTTCTTATAGATGATACTTAGCTATCGTAAAGTTGACGATAAAGGAACGCATTTGAATTATTTCCTAAACACTCTTATTGTATTCTTTATCTTCTGTCTTGTTGGATTTCTTTGGTCATTGAAGGTAAGTACACGATCAGAAAAGAAAGCTGAATCTACTAAGTTCTTTAATCCAAAGATCGCCTCAATCATATACACCACTTATTCTTACCATCAGTCGTATAATCCGACTGATCAAACATCGTACTGTCACGATTGGATATACAATTTTTGTATCATGTATTCAGGAAGCATGATCTTACTTACAATGATCTTATTTATATGCTTCATATACACTCATTATGATTATTATTTACGAGCAAAGAAAGCAATATTT